GCATTAACATATATCTCCATATGGACATCACCCCATTCTACCTCACCTTGTTCTATGAGTTCCCTGAACTCCTTATCATATTTTCTCCAGTCCCCCTTTTCCTCTGCAATTTGCCTTACTGATTCCATGTGTTTTGCAAGCTTTGGCTGTGCAAGTGTATCTTTAATGCAATATATTGTCACATACCTATTCCACGCAGTTACCAGAGTTTCCGAAAAGCAAATTTTTCTATCAGTCATTCGGACTGATGCAGTGTTCTATCAGTCCATCCCTACAGTGTATTTCTCATGTCAGATGTAATTCAAAGAAAATGTTGAATATGTATTGTGGCACAAACACTGATTGTGATACCAGAATATAAAATGCCTATAATTAATTCAAACATGGCACCAGGTCACACAGGCTTGTGGCTAAAGTCACTAGCCCCAAGTCAACTAATTACAAAAAGTTAATTCTTGAAAAAGAAAACTCTCAAGGTTTCCTTTTTAAAATCTAAAGTTTAATCTCAATTGTGCCTTACTTACTTTTCCCACCTCTTGACCTATATACTTTTGCAAGTAGAACTGCAAAATGGATAAGATAATGGATATTTACGAAGAATAGGAGCTTGCTGCATAAATTTTTCATTTATGAAGATATTGCAAAAGATTATATCATCGGTCACACGGACCGATACTGTAGTCACAATTTCATCGGACATTTCGATTTTCTATCGGTTTTGCCGGTAGGACCGATAGTTTTCGGAAACTCTGAGTTACCCAGTCATGCAGGGATAACGAACCATCCCTAACTTCGTCGTCATCTGTGGATCGCATATTGTGGATTACCACCTTACCTGTCTGATCCTGTTCCTCTACCTTGATAGAATACTTACTTTTCCCCTTTTCCTTTTTTAACAACAGAGCCATATCAACATATTGTTTTGACCAAATTTTAGATTTTATTTTGTCAGAAACAGTTGCCTCTATCGGTACTGATGAGCTTACAAAACCTGATTTCTTACCGACATTTGCTGCAGGTGGAAGTTCAGTACCTACAATCTGTGAACTGTGTTCGATTACAGCGCCTGATACCAATCCTGAGATACTTGCATCTACTGACTTATTTGTTATTTGACAAACTGACCCAGAAGGACCTGCTGTTAAGCTATTGCTTGATGTAGTGGAAGCATTATTTCCCCTTTCTCCCCCCATATTATGAACAGAGATACTCCCCTGATGTTGCAGTAATGGTTTTATCTCTGCTAACACCTTCTCCGTGACTGCCTTTGTTATGGTTTGGGTTAATGCAGCCAAGGTTTCAGGAGGAACATCAAGGGGTTGAGTGCTTGTATCGACAGCCACAGCATCATTGGTAGTGGACTCTCCAGTTCCGTTATGTGCACGTCGTGGTCTTTTCACCTGACTTGTTTTGGACTGTTGGGCTTTATTCCTTTTGCCTGGCATAATGCTGGTAAATATATACCTATATAAATTTAAAATTAAGGAAGAAGTATGTGTCCAATATATTATGTTATGTATAAATATAAACTGTAAAAGGCTTCGGCCTTAATTGACAATGAACAAGAATTGTAAGACCTCACTGTAGCCAGTGTAGGCCCCAACGTCAGAGTCAGTTAGCCTACATGACAACGTATTTGAGCATATTGATATTTAACATTACATTATATAACCACTTTCATCGCTCAGTACAATGTGTAAATCTAATACAACAAACTAGAAAGTGATGAACCTTTTCTTACAATTAATTTTTTACTTCATTGATTCTGCCGCTTTTCGATAAAACACCCTGTATCACCTACAGTTGTTGACAAAAATTTTCCGGAAATAGAGTAAATAGTAGAACCAAAAGTGTTTTGGAACAGATCTGTATTTCCCGAATTGCCGTAAGCCAATAAAAGCACCCATTGTGCGACTGCAAAAGCCATTAGTCAACATCACTAAGCCGATGCTGATCAGTAAGAACTATCAGCCACATAAAACGAAAAGTTGACATAAGTTATAAATCACCACCTTTGAAGCCGACAACCCTCGCACCGTGTCAAATTCCCAAGAAGGCTGTAGTGCCTTTCCCACAGATAACAACCTGTTCGGCTGTTGTTAATTGTTTTCATCACTACTACAAACGAGGTACTTGAAGGGCTTGTAATGTATCTAAGCGCAGTTGCAGAACAATAAAACCTTAATAAATGAATAATGAAAAACAACTATTTGTACAAGACTCAATATCATATAAAGGGGATAGCAAATACAAACAGTAAACTTGTACCTTCAAAAATGAAATGCGGATTTTTTTTTTTTTTTTTTTTTTTATTTTTTTTTTTTTTTTTTTTATTTTTTTTTTTTTTTTTAATTCTTTCATAATCTGGACCATTGAATCGAACATGATTAGGTAAATCAACTTGAAGTGAAATCGATATAAAAATCATCAAGGTAAAAGTGGGCCTAACATGAATTAAAAAACCAAAACGGCTAAATGTCAAGTACAAAATACTGCCTGAAACTTGTACCTAGGACTTGCCTAAAGTACTGTAAAAATTCACAATATTTTAGTAATCAACTAATACCAAAACAAACAAATTGGCAGATATTTTTCCAACAAATTGTTTTCTTTTTATACAGAAAAAGGATAAATCTGGAAGGCATCAACATGCACTTCTAGACTTATCAAATAAACAAGCGATGGAAAATAAATCGCCGGGGTAAAAGTTGAAACTAAAATGAAAAGACCCGCATGGGTACAAACTTGGCAAGTACAAAAGACTGCCTGAAACTTGTACTTAGGACTTGCCTAAAGTACTGTAGAATTTCACAATATTTTAGTAATCAACTCATACCGAAACAAACGAATTGGCAGACAATTTCCAACGATTTTCCTTCACAGAAAAAGGATAAGTCAATCTGGAATGCATTGAAATACATTCATAGACATCAAATAAAAACCGATGGAAAAAATCGCCATATGCATGGTAAAAGCTGAAACTAAAATGAAAAAACCCGAAAGGGTTTAAACTTGGCAAGTACAAAAGACTGCCTGAAACTTGTACTTAGGACTTGAATTGCCTAAAGTACTGTAAAAATTCACAATATTTTAGTAATCAACTAATACCGAAACAAACGAATTGGCAGACAATTTCGAACGATTTTCCTTCACAGAAAAAGGATAAGTCGATCTGGAATGCATTGAAATACATTCATAGACATCAAATAAAAACCGATGGAAAAAATCGCCATATGCATGGTAAAAGCTGAAACTAAAATGAAAAAACCCGAAAGGGTTTAAACTTGGCAAGTACAAAAGACTGCCTGAAACTTGTACTTAGGACTTGAATTGCCTAAAGTACTGTAAAAATTCACAATATTTTAGTAATCAACGAATACCGAAACAAACGAATTGGCAGACAATTTCCAACGATTTTCCTTCACAGAAAAAGGATAAGTCGATCTGGAATGCATTGAAATACATTCATAGACATCAAATAAAAACCGATGGAAAAAATCGCCATATGCATGGTAAAAGCTGAAACTAAAATGAAAAAACCCGAAAGGGTTTAAACTTGGCAAGTACAAAAGACTGCCTGAAACTTGTACTTAGGACTTGCCTAAAGTACTGTAAAAATTCACAATATTTTAGTAATCAACTAATACCGAAACAAACTAATTGGCAGACATTCTTCCAACGAATTTACTTCACAGAAAAAGGATAAATCTGGAATGCTTTAAAATACATTCCTAGATATCAAATAGAAAAACGATGGAAAAAATCGCCATCTGCATGGTAAAAGCCGAAACCAAAATGAAAAAACCCAAATGGGTTGAAACTTGGCAAGTACCAAAAAACTGCCTGAAACTTGTACTTAGTATCTGCCTAAAGTACTGTAAAAATTAAACCAACAACGAAACAATCAAATTTGCTGATACTTTTTCCAACCGAATTTTCTTCACAGAAAAAGGATAAATCCGTTTTACATTATTAGACATCCTAAATGCCTATCGTACTGTTAAAATAACAAAATGTTGTATAATTTCAAAGAATATCTATCTGAAAAATTGACGAACAATAAAAGTAACAAAATGGTGACAAACTTTTATGACTTAGATGTATATCTATTTTCTCGCTGAAATTAAAGCTCCCCTTATACTCCTATATAAATGAACATTCCCCTGACTGTTCAGATGAACTCCGTCGTGAACAAATTTACGACTGCAGTCTCCTTCACGGGGAGAAACGAAATAATTCCCATGTTCCCAAAATACTCAGTAACCCAGTGCTGGCAATGCATCTCTCAATATTGCGTTTACTTTGTCTGCAATATTATTGTACCCAAAACGAACACCAAATCGTGGCAATAATTTACAAACAATTATTTTTGCAACTTTATAGCGGCGATGCATTACCGATACCACAGATTCAATTTCTGCAGCTAACAAAGTAGCGTCGGTACTAGGACTAATATCGTTCTCCCCAATCATTAGAACAACTACATCTGGACCTAAAGCAAATACGCTCTCCATATCCTTAGATATTACATCACGAACCTTTCTTCCACCCACACCCCTGTACAGAACGGAATGCGTCTCTCCCAGACCAAGGCTCGCAGAATACCTAATGTCACCATATTTCAAGAATTCATGAAAACGACGCACAATTGAGTGTCCAAGAATGACAACTGAAGTTTTACTCATAGAAGACATAATGAAATAAATTTACTCACCAAAATCTTGATAAAATAAATAACAAACTTTGAAACAACGTCCGTCCTCCAAGGATGTAGATGGGAGAAAAGGCAGAGTAACGCACCGCATGGTCAGAATTTCATTTGTTAGATTTTAATTGGTCAGATTTTGATTGGTCAATCTCTGCCTCTCCTACCACGGTAAGACATGGAACAAAATTAACATTACAAAGCACAGCTATACAGTATTTCAGACTTTCACATTCAAGGAGGACACTTATTGATTACAATAAAAATTTTTAAGTAAACTTAAATTTATAAAAAGAATTAGGAACAAATCGAGTTGATAGCAATGATGCAAGACATGATTCAGAGGAGGATCAAGAAGACTACTCTCAGATGAAAAGGGCCTCAAACAACTACAACATACTGAGTTTCAACAGATTTAATGCTGTCTCCAGAGTCAATGTCACAGAGGAAGAAGAAATCTACGATCAAGGTGGCGCTGTTATCCCTAGCCAGGCGAAAGACTCTCAGGACAGTTACGTGTCCTTAGCTCTCAGACAAAACCACGTGATTCCTTCATCTAATGGTATCAAGGAAGTTATTTGCGATGTAGAGGAAGAGGGTGTATCTGATAAGACGTATGCTCCTAGAGATAGCTACATTACACTTGCACTTAATCCAAGCGCTTCTCCAAAAACTACAGGAAACACTAAAGGAAACACCGGAATGTGTTCAAAACAAAAGACACAGGCAGGATATTCAAATAAAAACGATCAGGATATATATGCAAATACTCTACCAAGATTTCCTTTAAACTATTACGTACTTGAAAATGACAAAATTGGTTCAAAGGGAAAAAAGAGAAATATGAATGATAAATTATGATCAAAGAATTGAAAGTAATCATTAGTAAATCTTATACAGAGAGGGAGTGGTTGAGATGGGGGGGGGGGGTGTAATTACATAAAAAAAATTAATCATTAAATCATCAATTTCATTACTGTTTTAATATACGAGTAATACTTATTTTAAATGATGTTCCTTTTGTGTGTTAAAGAAGGCTAGTGATAAGAAATCATTATTTCTTTGGGATGAATATGTTTATGTTAAACTGGCAGACCAAGGCAACATAGCTGTTCTATTTGTTCCCAAACTTCAAAACAGAAGACATGTTAAGTGTAAAAATCTCCAATTGCCAACAAAATCAATTGATAAAATAACGCGAAATGTGTAAGGAAATTCGTATTCCTTACTAGAATTGAAGCTTTCATAATTATAATTCTTGAAATATATAGAAATTGAGTTTTCTTTGATGTCCAGATATGCAATTTTGTGCAATTTTCTTTATAGATACGGCATTTTATGCATACAATTATAAGCATTTATACAAAATATTACAACTCCAAGACTTACTTTCTTTGGCCAATACTATATGTTAAATTATCTACATATATGAATTGTCAAATAAAACAGGGAAGTCAATGTGATTGGTCCTTGTTTACTAATTCCATTCAGGAAAAAACCAAGTCACTGTAGTTTTTTTCTTATAACAAGATGAAAACTATCAGAGTTAATCGACAGAATTTTCTAGAAAGTTAATATGGGGAAGGGTTACATGTAACTACATTCTGTCAAGATTTCTATATTTGGAGGAAAGAGGAAAAGACCCATATTGAAAAAAAGTAGTCAGACTAAACAAATAACACATTTCGGGGAAAATACTGCTAATGTGAATGAATAGTATGCAGGCTTTAAACTACTGTTCAATTACAGGTGAAACGGATGTACTGGGATAAATATTTATATATAATGGTTCCGAATTAAATGAAATTCCGAATAAAAGTTTTGCTATATAATCCTATCTTCTATTGCAGATTGGGTTTCTTCGCCGATCAAGCATTTTGATACAAATTCGGCATACATGTAGAACATGTAAATTAAAACATACTTGATTAAGCTTCCAGAAAATGACAGATTTACACAAAGAAAGAATATTTTAATAAGGCACATTTGAAATGGACATCAAGTACAGATAAGATAAGATAAGATAAGATTTATTAATACCAATTTGGGGCACATCAGGGCATACAAGTAATAAGAAAAATATACACAAAATTCAAAATTGATAATAGCAACTTGAAGTTTCTTTCAGCATTTTTATTTAATGATACAATCCTACAAGAAATGAAGGTTTCCTGGCATGTTCTTTCAAATTCAGGTTAAATTCGTCGACACTAGGGTTCTATCACATTGTGGCATCCCATGTCGTCATCAAAATCTGAGCTTAGCAAAGACCTTCTTCAGAACTACACAAAGGAGTTGCCACGTAACGATAAGTTGTCTGTTGTCAACGTATCTTTCAGTGCCTTTCATTTAATAGGCTTTAGTGACATTGAAGGTAAATTTATAATTAATGGATGTTTCAAAATATCTTGGATAGATCCAAGAATCGCCATAAATTGGGCTTCCTCAAATGTCTCTTCCCATACGAAATTATACCATGTATTTTAAAGATTCAGAGGTTTGGACTCCTGAAATTCGTCAGTTGAATCATTATAATAGGCCAGATTTCGAAATTATGATCGAAGAAGCAGTAGCATTTATAGAGAGGGTTCGGCTTTGATGATGAAAATGGATATTTTTACATCTGAATGCAAAGCATATGTTCCCCCTTTTTCATTTGATTTGCAGAATTGTTCCATTGACGTAGTGGTGTGGGGTTTCTTAAATGAAGAAATTGCCTTACAAGCACCTAAAAACGAAGTCAATATGAACTTGTATGAAGAAGGCAACATTTGGTTGATAACAGACACTAGAATCATCGTTGACAGTGTTGTTGGTCTTGGTAAGAACGAAACCTCTGCAATTCCACGGACAAGGATTGAGTTTCTCCTAGTACGTAGCCAATCTTATTTTGTATGTTTTATGATAATCCTTCTGATGCTGATGCAGTTCCTTCAACTGTTTGTTTTATGGATGTCATGGGATTGTGGGGAAAGACCCAGTTTCTCTATTACAGTTTTTCTAGCAAATAGCTGTATATCTCACTCTAGTCGTTGAAAACATCCCAAGATCAATAGGTACTGAATTCGCATATTTTGGAATAAAGGTCACAATGGACCTTTGCATAGCAGTTTTCATCCAAATATGCGTAATCCAACTCCATCGTATCTACAGTAAAAGTAGTCACCCAGATCTTAACGTTTGTAGAGTTTGTAATACCTTTAGCATCTGTGGGGCCTTTGAAGCTACTAAAAACTCTGAGGATATTTACCCAAGTCCAGATAGGGATATTGATATTCAACAATACACTTTTTGGATAGATCGCGGACAGAAAATGGACAAATTTTTTTTTTTTTGATGTCATTTCTGTTAACATTCATGTCTGGTTTGTTTACCCTCCAGGTGTTTGTTGAAGCAAGAGCATCAAAAAATTTCCTTTAAAGTCGGCTCCCAAAAACACGCTGCTTTATGAGTACATGTATATTAAATGAGCTTTAGAATTAATTTCTATATATTTGTTTAATGTAATGCAATCTGTTGGAATTCGACTACTGCTCTGAGAGGGCCATTTTTTCTATGAATTAAGTATGGAAAATCGCAGATACTCTATGGCTTCAAAATTTAATTTTCCTACATATATCCTGAACATCAAACATCCTGGAAACGGGTGTTTTCCAGCAAGGAAAATCGATTTTATTTAATTAAATTTAAAAATAGTTTTAGATAACGTTTAAAGCTAACTGAGATCAAAGAGTATTTTATCAAATTTTTGTTCTGGAATGGACCTTGTAAAAGATACCGAATTTCAATTTTTTTGTTTTAATTTTGATTTATTCAATTGTTTTATATTTACTAAAATTGGTTCTTAAAATTATTCAGGGACATTCATGACAGTGAGATAATGCAAACAGTAGTCTCATGGTTATATAAATGATATTATTTAATCCCAGACATGTAATTACTGTGGATCTTCATTTATCCAAACTATTCATGTATTATTGTTTTTTAGCATTCAAAATGCTTCGTTAATACAAACAGATTTCATGGAATACAAAGAGACGGATTTACTCGACTGTACATCATAAAAATCAAAACATAATGAATGAAAATTTCATTTTGAAAACGTTTGAAATCGTAATTTTTAATTCAAAATAAAAAGAATAAAATATTATATAAATATTGCATGTAGTTGAATGTAACATTAAAAATTTTCACCCCAAGAAAACTATTGTCAACCAAGGCGCAACCGAGGTTGACAATGGTTTTCGAGGGGTGAAAATTTTAAATGTTACACTCAACTACATGCAATATTTATCATATTATACTGAATTTTTATACGAATACATATAACAGTGAACCGTGTGCGCATAAATTCTGCGCAGTCGCTATTTTTTGGAATACTACCCGTCCTCAAGCAATGTTGACTGTTGCTACGCAGCAAAGCGTGGCTTCATTATCCAGCGGGTAATAGTGCTTTTTAACAAATGTTTCTCGACGAATCAGATTCAAGTAATTTACATGAAAGTATAATATATATACTTATTCCCTGATTTCAGGAAATACATGTATCCTTTATTTGTAAAACTCTGTTCAAATTTGGCAGTGAATACTTATTTCCTGATTTCGGCTTTATCAGTGTGAAAGCATTGAATTTTTAATGGTATATTTAACATATTCAGCATAAAGTAAAAATTACTATGCCGTATATATTTTCATTTTTCTTTAAATGTTGACTATTGAAAAAAAAGTGGGGGGGGGGGGTATTATTATATTTTGGTTTCATTTATTGCTCTTAAAATTAGATTTTTATCTAATTTTTGGAAGCACAAATTGAGATCACATATCAATATTGTTAGTTGTGTCATACCCATAGCTCTAATAATCTATCTAGAAGAATATGGAGATACCGAACAGTATTCAATATCAAAGTCCATAAAACAATTTAAAATAGGAGCAGAGCAAACACGGATCTCTGAAACATCAGAGGTGGAATCAGGTGCCATGGAGGAGTGAGCATCCCCTGCTGACCGGTCTCACCCCCGTGTGCTCCTTCTCATAATCGGGAAATAACGGAAAAAATCTGTCGTCAATTTAGTGTATAAATAATAGACTGACAATCAGTATAAAAAACGTTAGTCAGCATCTGACTGCATGATAAATTGTATTTGCTGACAAGGACATTGTACCTCCAGAACAAAGGTAAGAAATCATTATCTCTATTCATACAGGCAACCTAAGAATACAGCATTGTTTTTCAAAGCTTATTCTGTCTTTGGATTTGAAGGTATGTTCAAAATATTAAACTCGAACTCAAAGAAAGGAGTCTTAGCATGATGCCAGATTACGCTGGCAAAAATAGCCACTTATCGTCAACTTCCCTTATTTTGTAGCAGTATAATCTTATTTTCTGCATATGGGGTTTACGTTTCTCAGCAAATTCAATGCGCAAGAGTATGGCCTACGAACGGACAATTTCTAAAACGAAACAAGATACTGACAATTAAGCTGATTAAGCAAAGATATCAATAATTCCGTTTTAAATCATCATTTTGCAAGTTTTAGGTCGATACAATGACTTAATCAGTAAACACAAGACTGAAGTTGTACATTTAAAATTGTTGGGCCATTACTTAAACATTGGATTGTCTTCTGTTTTTTCCCGTTTATGAAAAGTGGCACGCGTTTAATAGTATTGGTATTGTCAATTATACTATGTGTTGACCACCATAGGAGGTATCCGTAGAGGCTTTATCTAATGAAATCTCAATATTGTCAAAATATAACTACACATTTCAGAGAATATTCTTTGTTTCTGGCAATTTTCCATACAATGTGCATATTGGGACAATTTAGTTAATTTTAAACATAGGTATCTGACTTTTTCCGCCAGGAACATGTTCAAAGACAATAGACTATTCGTGAGCAGAAATCAGTGTGGATTTTTGTGGAAATTAGATAGAAAAAAAATCATTTACTTATTCTTGGTCGCGCACACACATCGAGTATCGTCCTGACCAGTTTCAAAATATACCATTAATCTCCGTGTACTAGATTTTAAGTTTACAATATATTTCAATAAAATAATTATATATTTTCAAATCCCCGAACCCCGAGGGAATCCGGGTTAGAATAGGTCCTCAGTACCCCTTTGTTTGTCGTTAAAGGCGACTAAATGGGGCGGTCCTTCGGATTAGACCGTATAAACTGAGGCCCCGTGTCACAGCAGGTGTGGCACGATAAAGATCCCTCCCTGCTCAAAGGCCGTAAGTGCCGAGCATAGGCCTAAATTTGCAGCCCTTCACCGGCAATGGTGACGTCTCAATATCAGTGAAATATTCTGGACAGGGACGTTAAACAGTATACAATCAATCAATCAAATCCCCGAATTTCACACCCATATTACGAAACAGGAAAAAACTATTAACTTAATCAAACAGATCAAGCTGACAATCCAAATATAGATATCGATTATATAAACAAAGTTTGCTTATCAAGTCTCAAAAGTTTCATTTCACTCACCAAATCTATCCATTGCAGTTAGATGGTTTTTATACCCCTCGCTTCAGAAGTGGCAGGGTTTTAAGTAATCGGACAGTCTGTCCCTCTGTCCGCTACGTTTTGGGTTACCAATGTTTATCTGCAACTACTTTTATACCAAATGATGCTTTCCAGATTCTTTATTACATTGTGTCACATAATGTCAATTTGCACTTCCTATTTTACTTCTTGATCTGAAACATATTTCGGGTCTTCAAGAGATGGATTTTTCAATTATAATCTTAGGGGAGGCGGGGATGGGGATTATATAAATAAATACATTTATTTTTTATTTCATTTAAAATTTGAAAGAACGTATTCTAACGAAAATGTGCATTAGATGTAGCATTCTTTTTAGCACGGTAGAAAAGTACATTAAGGTCAGACGACACGTTCCTCAAAAATATATATTTTTCCTAATAATTTGCCATTGAAGTAATGGTACTTAAGCAAGTTTCCTCACAAAAAATAGGGTACCTTACCAGGCATTTGGCCATGATACCATAGGGATATATTTATGGGTAATGTTCTAAATGACTTATAATATAATTTTTTGTGTATTATATTTAAAAACATTTTTTAAAAAACAATGTAGAAATCAGAAGAGAATAACAACTATGAATTATTTTTCATATATATAATACCAAGAGATACCAAGAGATACAAAACATATATTTGAGGAACGTGTCATCTGACCTTAAAAGGATTCAAAGTATTGTGCAATGCTTTGTATTATAAATCTTGAAATTATAATGATATTAAATAACTAAAACGTGGACCTTTTACCCTTTGATGACTTTTAAAAGTGAATGACAAACTCTCTTAAAAACCTGTCCAACGATGTGTATCAAACCTTGAAGAGTTTTGTGGTAATGTTACATGTATCAAGAACATTAGGGCAATTTATTATTTTTAAATTGGAGAATTGTATGAAAAGGTCTAGAAAAGGTAAGCATTTTATATCCATACACATCCCGATGAAAAGAAGTATGTAAAAAAGGGAATTGGTGATTTGTCGAAAAATTAGTGTCTTGATTTTAAAGCAAATGGGAAATAATATTAGTTTTGAAAAGAACTTTCAAAATCTATTTCAATGTTTATAACTTTTTAATAAATATTCATTAATTTATATAAAATATTTAGGACAATAATACGAATTACCAACCGTGTTTTGATTTTTTTTTCTATTAACAACTTTATCTGACATGTAAACATACAATATATTCGGTTCTTTTTTCAGCTAATAAAATGTGTTATCAACTCTTGCTATCTATTGTCGTGATGGCATTGTGTGATGTTACATTTTCATCGAGATACGAACTTCGGAAAGATCTCCTTAATAATTACGAAAAAGGCTTACTTCCTAATGACACCGCTACAGTTGTGACAGTTAACTTCAATGCATTTCGCTTAATAGAATTTGACGATAAAAATGGAAAGTTTACTATAAGCGGGTATCTTGAGGTGCATTGGATAGATTTACGGATCGCCGAAAACTGGAACCTCTCTTCACATCAGTCACCAGATATTCTATCGATGTACTTCAAAGAATCGGAAGTCTGGACACCAAATGTTCTCCAGATTAATCCGTACAGCAGATCTGATTCCGAAAAACTGAAAGATGAATCCATCATGTTTTTCCCGACAGGATCAGCATTAATGTTGAAGGGGGACATCTTCTCCTCAGAATGCAAAGCAGATTTCACCTATTTTCCACATGACACACAAAATTGCTCGATTTACCTTGTTGTATGGGGATACTATATGGAGGAAGTTATCCTAAATCCTTACCACAACAAGGTTAATATGGATAATTATGAGAAAAACAACCTTTGGGATATGGGAGACACAAGAATAAGTATAAATATCCTTAACGAAAAGAAGGATTCATCGAAAATCCGAGTACTTAAAATTGAGTTTGAAATCAACCGCCGTTCAACATATTATGTACTATTTTTAATTATGCCAATTGTCCTAATGGAAATTCTCCAGGTTTTTGTTTTCATGTTACCATGGGATTGTGGTGAAAGAGCGAGTTATTCTATCACTGTTCTTCTATCAATAGCTGTATATTTGACAATCATCACCGAACAAATTCCAAAATCGTCCGAACCCAACATCTCTGTCGTAGCCAAGAAACTTTTCACAGATCTTTGCATTGGGTGTGTTGTTCAAATATTTGTTATCATCAGTCTGCATATATACAATTTTAGTCAACTGAAACATCAAGCAATTACACAAACATGTTGTCGGGATATATTGATCTGGGCACAGAAGAAAGATTGGATAGCTATTGGACATCGCTTGGATATAATATTTGTTGTCATAACGTTTGCTGCAATATTTGCTACCAATGCTTACCTGTTGTCAAACATAGTAATAATGAAAAACCTTTCCTTGTAGGAAACAAAACACAAACCCTGAAGTGGAAATAAAGTAGCTGTATAAATTTATCAGACTTTGAAAGCTTTTGAAATTCCAGAAATGTTACAAAATTTAATTTTGAACAATTTACTTTTATACAAGTTAAACTCTAATTTCATTGCTATTTTGTTAACAGGTAATAAATCAAAATATTTAAAAAAAAAACAAATTTCAGCATGATATTCATTAAAACAAGGTTGACTGATCAAGACAAATAAACTATGCTTTTTATGTGTGGGCCGCAAGTGTTAATGTGTGTTATGCCGAAATGATTGATACAACCAAATATTTACTTTTTTAAAAATATTTTTCCTACATGGATGAACCTTATTATTGAAGAGAAAATATGTTCCATTCTGTATGAATAAGGAGGGGATCAGAGGTCATAACATGACTGATTCACATGGCGGGAAGATTTTTTTTCTGTCACTGAAACTGCTTTCGAAAAGTTGTTCTAACTTTGTGGCAACGAAAAAGATAAAATAATTCAAAAATTTGAATTCTTTTTAATCACCAGATGTCCATTAATTCTTTTTTCGGTGTGAAGAATGTTTTAAATAACATTATTAGTCTAAAATCGCGCTTACCTTTTTTAAACCCGAAATTCCTTTGAAAGCATGTTAACGGAAACAGATGATACCATCGCTTTTGATATACCATATATGAAGAACTAGTATAATATTAAGATCATTCTCAGAAGCGATCATTGTTCTTTTTTTCTGTACAGAGATTTCCTATACTGGATTCTGAACATCAGTGTAAATAAATATTCAAATGTTGAAGCGATTAGAATTTTCAAGACCAATCAATTTCTACCTAGGCTTTAAATCCTCACAGGATTTGATCACATAACCAACCAAATTCATTTACTTTCTTAAATACATGTACATGTTAAAATATTTTAGAATGTTCGAATTGACTATGTTCGCTTAACGTGAGGTATAGGAAAACTCAGCTAATCGGGGTGGGGAGTGGTTGGGAATAATACCTCTTATTGTTTTTATTCATTCAAATGGTTTTTATCAACATCAAACAGAAAAATTAAATTTTTGTAAAGCATTGAAATAGACAGATTTCCGCTCCTTGGACGTAGAAAAATTTCGATTTATTTAGAGTTTCTGTTCATTTTCTTTGCTGAGCTTGCACATACTGAAATAAAACTCAGTATACAGATTTGTTAAAAAAAAATCTAGGCCCTGATTTTGGTACGATCGAGTCATTTTTGCTAGAGAAACTACTTTTGAACTTAAAAAAAATTAAAATATTTGCGGGGATAGGGGATGTGTTCTAGAGGCATATCTTGTTAGAGACGTACGTCTCTAAAAAAAATGCATCAAACCGCATTATTGTAGGTCTCAAACTCCTCTCAAACACTCCTAAAGCAGCTCATATTATCGGTTTTTCGATTGACCGTGGAAATTAAATATGATCTATTATCAATAAATCATTAATAACGACAAGGTATAGTAGGATGTGTCCTCTCAAAAGACTTCATTTTTATAATCTACTTAAACTTTAACCATAAATAGCTTTCAGAGGCTTCACCCTTAGGGGAATCTCAAGGTGCCCCGGACCCAGCTCGCCTCACTCTTCTTTAAAACCTCTATCAACCCTTGGCTGTTTAAGGTAACCTTATTTAACTTATAAAATGTTTCAAATGTTAACAAGCCCATAGTAATGCTCGACGACATCTCACCCTAGGTATAAAAAAAAACGTAAAAAAAATACTATGCAACATTTTTGATGCATAATGTGCTCTATATTGAAGATCCGTAGTCGCTATTTTGTAAAAATTCACCCAACAGAAAATGCTGGAAATTTAATAAAAAACGACTTCTAGATGGGCAGTAGCAATACGTCGTCGATATATCTAAACGTCGAGTTGAAGACAATAACAAGTGTTTTCTTTTCACGTATAAAATTTTGAAAAAAATCTGCATTCATAATGTACAATTGGAAAATAATTTACAGTGTAGAAATGACCAATTACAGGGTTAGTGAATTTACGAGTTCCATTTTTATTGAAAAAGCAGCTGGTATTTATGATGACAAAAAGTCTGAACCTTAATTTAACGTTGGGAATGATTGTATTTTTAAGTTTAAATATTGTTGGTACAGGTAAAATTTTGTGATTTACATTTTCAAAAGGTTCTTTTAATTTTTTTAAGTTTCAATCAAAGGACCAGTCTCCACGTCCCACAGTAGGAATCGATCCTGTTACCTAAGAACAACATATATAACTCATTTCTAGGTGTGTCAGAACAAACGCTGAACATTACCTCTTTTCCACGCCGGTGACCGAGGCATAAATATGTGCATACAAAATGTATTTAAAGAACAAAAATAATCTCTTGTTTTCCGTTATCAAAAATACATACAAATACAGTGTACAGTTATTTTATCTTGTGGTATTTAATCGACAGGTTTTTGCTACTATTCGTTCATTCTACTTTCAACATTTTTTCAAACATTCCACAAAAGCGTTATAGCGTTTGAGTACACACTCCGGGTAGGAAGGACTTGTTTTTCTGATGTCGCAGATTCTCTTGGTGATGGTGTAAATATCGTAGCAGAGACATCTGCAAAAGTTATCTTTATATTCTGTGTGACAACCATAGGCAAGCGATACCTAGACAAACATCAGAGCAATGCGGTAAAACATCGTAAATTCCTGAAAAAAATATAACAAATGAAAAAGGTGAAGATAACAAACAGTGGTTGATTTTAATTTTTTTTTAATTGCATGATAAATAACTACATATAATAAGAAATCTATCTGTAAGTGCATGGATACAAGGCAAAATCAAAGCATGTGTAAGACTGGATGAAACTACAATGACATTTTTGAAGAAAGATGTTTATAGAAACGAGTCTATGTCACTTAAGGTCATAGGTCGGTGAGAAAAGTATAAAACGCCCATTAAAGGCCTTGAGGATCAGCTTGGTCCTGGACCGCTCGAACGCCAAGTTGTCAATGTTATTTATACTTGCCAAAATTACCAATATCCTTATTAATGATTGTTAATAGAGTATTAAACTGATCATATAGCAAATTCAGTAGGTGTTATATCAGGGACTTCGTTTTAAAATCTCGAAAAAGTCGTTGATCAATAGAAACTTCATCGTTTAACGGGCAAACAAGATAGATAAATGTCTATGAAATTATTAGAATCTAAAACAAATCGATGACATCGTTTGTCCAAAATAAGTATACATGTAAGTGATAAAAGCATTTTGCTACATCATTTTTAACATAAAAAATCGTCTGTGAAGACACAACCCACTGTTGCAAAAAGACGTCATAGTTGTTAACATATGCATGTATAGGCAATTTTCTATCACAGTGAATGTCATAAAGTATAGGTTAATATTCCAAAAAGGGCCAATCAATCAGTGTTCAGGTAGCATAAAAGAAAGTTTTAAAGATATTGAGACTTAAGTCTAGAATCGGCAAGAATAAAATTCCTTATGACAATGCTCTAGCAAATTAATCCCACATAGATAGATTTTTTTTTAAATAAGAAAGGTCCATTTTCACCCTGCCCTCCTAACTCTACATTCATGTATTCCTGTGACTTCTAATAATTAACTAAAAGTTACATTAGTAACCTTAAAATATTATTTGATGAATAAAACGATTAAAATCATATGTGTCAGTCAAAAAAGTTAAAAATATTTTCCTAAGCTGCATGTAAACATTTATAACTAAAAGTTTTTATTTAGAGAACTATAAAAGTTTTATATTTTATGGCTATTATAGAAAAATGGGAGGTTCGTATAATTATTATTATTCCAGATAATAAAAGAATTTTTAAAAAATAAAAGTTCATTTATATAAATGTAGATTTCTATTTTGTACGAAAAGAGAATTCTATAATTATAAGAATGAAATAAAAACATTTGTAAATTAAAATAATAAAAACATAATACAAATATATATATTACATCAATTAATCAATTGACATAAAACAAAAAAATATATATATAAAATGATCTGAATGGTCACATTATTCATTAAAAGATATCTGTTAAGTAAATACAGAAATTGTTAATAGTTAGAATGGAAGCAATTTACCTGAATATCTGCACAATATATTTTGGTAACAAGAAGCGTGTAATTAAAATGAGACGTCAGCACGATACTTTATATACCATGTTAATTTTATCATGTTTGAAGAGTATTTACATATAAATAATATCCGGGAGAATACTGTTACATCAATTGTTTAGAGTACAACAGTCAAAAATACAGAAGGTAATTTGGCAACCGTACAAATTTCTCAAAAAAAAAAATCCGTATGAAACATAATTGTTTTAATTCATATCTAATGCGCAGTTATGATTTGTATGAGGATGTTTGCTGGTTTGATCTGTATAATATTATGTTTTTACTTTTCAAGTAGTATATAGTGATCACATCATTGCACTTCCATCTGCAATCTTGCGTGTACTCGTCTCCAGCTTGCGATTAACTTGAGATCAAATGAAAACATATTTTTAAAATTAAAAGAAAACTTTTTTAATTGACAGTTCATGCATTTTTAAAAAGGAAATTCTAAACTTATTTTGAATCTATATGAATCAAAGCTAAAAATAACTTTTGTAATTTCAACACTGCAAGGTTTTTTTGTAGGTGATTTTCTTCTCACAATTTTTCAAACAAAGTCCAAAATCACTGACGCAGATTTTATGAACTTTGCAACCGGGTGAAGAAGTTTATGAAAAAAATAATGTTTGAAATGACCGGGTAAATAAATTTGCATTTGGTAACATTAACAGTGTTTGTATCATAATATTTCTCTTGCCTTTTTTCATGTTCATAACAGATTACGTTTGACGCTCACAGGTTTACGTTACATATATATACAGTACTAGATCATGTGCACGAATGTACTTAAGTCACAAGTTGACATAATGCATGCTGATAAAATCTAAAGAAAAATAACTTCCACTTTAAGATAATATTGACACATTTCAAGTATTTAGCTTTTATTTTTTTATTAATATGGAAAAGGTTTTTCTGTTCATGCTTTTCTAACTTTGTTTCATTATGTCAACTTGAATAGTAATAATAATGGCATTAAAAGCAATAAAATAAGTCAGGACTGAAAAATGAAAAATGCCTTAGAAAATAACTTATGAAATGTAAAATCGATATGGTAAAAATATACTTAATTTCCTTATCTGATAATGCGTCGGAAGGAAATGAATTTTCGGTATTGTACATCATGCAATTGCAGATAGAACTTGAAAATAATTCTATCTTTAAATCACAATGAATCTCTTTCAGCATTATTATGTGTTTGTCGTAATTTTTTATTTCGCCAACGGAATAATTCAGCTCAAAGATGGACCCGGCGTTTGCAAAAATAATGAGTAAGTGTGCATTACAAAATTCAATAATAAATTGATTTAAAGACAGTTTAACTTTTTAACACTATAGTTACACATTGCATAATTTTTTTTTTACATATATATAATTTTTATTTAATTTAAACCATAGTGAAACAAACCTAAAATGTTGTACAAATTATCGACAAAAGGATGATTTCTGCGAACGTAAGTATTTTTTTTTTTTGGGAGGGGGGTATTAAAACTAAAAATAAACTTTTCTTTTTAATATCTCTGGGCGTTTACTTTTGAAAAGAACCTCGATACATGAATTCAAAAATATAAAAAAAAAAAAAAAAAAAAGAAATACATATATTCTTCATAAAAAAGTATTTTACTTGAAAAAGACAGAAATGATAATTTAACGACCAAGCTCTATGATAAACGTGATGACTTTAACTTTTCTATCGTCAACTTTCCTTACTTATGCAGCAATACACCTTCATCACCTGCATGCAGAGTTTATATAATCTCAGTTGATTCGATACTCAAGAGCATGCTCTACGTATGAACAATTTCTTAAACGAGGTAATTTATTGACAAACAAGTTGAGAAAACAAGAATTTCATCAGTCTCGGTTAGAGTCATCATTTCGTAAGTTCTATGGTCGATACAATTTATCATCGAGTCAAATGCCGACTGACGTTTTTCACAGCTATTTTTAGACCATTATTTATACACTGAATTGACGACGGCCTTTTCCGATTAAGACAAGGAGCACACGGCGGGTGTGACCGGTCAGCAGGGGATGCTCACTCCTCCATGGCGCCTGATCCCACCTCCAATGTTTTGGAGGCCCGTGTTTTCTCTGCTCCTATTTTGTATTGTTTTATGGACTTTGATCTTGAATACTGCTCGATATCTCCCTATGTTTCCTTTTATTTACATTTTCCATCTATGAAAGCATAACAAATATACTTAATGTTTGAAATTAGTTGCCCTATATCCTTTTATTTTATCCACGTTAGCGCACGTTTCTCCATGCATGTTTCTATGTGTGGGTATACACGAAAATGGTATTCAAATCAATTTTACAGTTGGCTTACTAGAAAAACACAGCAAATGTAGATATCAAAGCATACAGAAGTTTTTTTTCTTACACTTCATCGGTGTGTTTGCAATTGATAAAAAGTGTTAAGTCAGAATAAGGTATGAAGTAAAATATTTTTTACTAAAACCTGCTTAATTTTCTTAATTAAGTTCAATTTCAGCTAAATTCATTTCTTATTGTTTGCATAATAAACATATATATTTGTTCTTTTTACAACAATTTATTTTCATTCTTTTATTGTAACAAAGTGTGATATCATTTGAATCACGGATGCAGAGCTTTCACTATATGTATATAATAATTTAAAACCGTTAGTTTTTAATTTTTTCATTGTTAGATATTCAAGCAATATGTTAGAAAAAGTTTACTAAAATAATTTGAATCCCATAAGAATATTTAAACGTATTCGTTGATATGACATTATTACTGAATATATTTTTTAAACAAATGAAGGACATAGTGTAAAAAAATTTTAAAAATTTTTCATTGGTCATGTTGTTCAAGCCTGTGAAGTAGGCACGTATGGAGACAGCTGTACGGGAGGACCCTGTGTCTATGGATACTATGGGTTTGGTTGTCAGAGTAAATGTAACTGTACGTCCGACCAGTACTGTGACAGGAAGATAGGATGTTTTCATAATGCTACAAAAGGTAGGAACTGTTTGTGGTTGAAACGAAACTAATCTCGTTTTCAGAGATTTATATTAATTCATTTTGTATTCGGAATGCTTACATTAAACACCACAATGTCGATTGTTATCTTTCCTGACCTGTTAGAGGAGTTTGTGAATTTATTTCTTTAGATACTAAGAACTATCAATCAAATGATTTATATCTGTCACATGTAGCTGTTGATGATTGACAGTTTTGAATTCAAATATGAATATGGAACACAAATAAAATAATTGAGACATACCAGTGCCTGATGTATTAAAAAGAATTCTTTTGAGTTTTTGTTGAAAATTTGATGTTGAGAAGTACAGAGAGAGAATAAAATCATTTAATGCTTTTTTTGTTAGAAGTTTCTTTAAACTTAAGATTATAATGTTATATTTGAATTTTTAATCAGACCTAGAGGGCGCAGTATTGGAGGACAAATCAAACAATAGTATTGTCCTTACTGTTACAATAACGGTGGCAGTTCTCAGTTTGATTTCCATAATAGTCGCTAGTGTCTTCATTTATGATAAAAAGTAAGTTATTTTGATGCTATTGTGTGTATGGATATTTTATAAAAATATCTAAATTTGATTTATTTTTCTTTGCTTCTTCGGAGGCAAAATCTAAATTTCATAAAGAGGTAACCTGATGAATGAAACGTTTAAAAAAAAATAAATAAATAAGCGAATGAATCCTCTAGCTTTATGCATCATTTCATGTCCATCGATGTGTTGCTATTTCCAGATAAATCAAATGACAATTCTTTAAAACATAAATTCATCTTTGTGTTATGATAATTTTTATTCTTGAAAAGTTGGAAACCGATGATCTTTCTATTAATAAGGATAAATCTTGCTTTATAGATTAAAGTTCATACGCCAGTATTTGACAAGTAAGTACATGTATGAGAACATAAAATGATTTAAAATTATGATATAAATAAAACAGATATGTCGGTAATAACATTAACAATAATAATATTATTCTTTAATTTTCTAAAAATATAAATAAATATTAATATTAAATATAAAATATTCTAATGCAATTGTTTTGTAAAACACTCTGTGATTGGCTAATGCACTGATGTTTGAAGCAGTAAAACGAGCATTAACGAGCGTGAAAGCTTTTTCATTGTGACGTCATAATAGAGCGACGCAAAAATATAATGCTCCGTGACGTACTTCATGTAACAAAATTCATCAAAATAAGACGTAAACAACAAACAAAATGCATGGATTGCATTAGAATGGGAATAACTGATCTTCTAATTTGGTATTTGCGACCGTTAATGCTGATTTAACGTTTTACCGGCTCCGCTTACGCGTTGCCTGTAAAACTCAGTTTGTGACCGTTAAATCAGCATTAACGGTCGCAAATACCAAATTAGAAGATAGTTATTCCCTAATTCATGATCATTGATTGCGTTTACAATTTTTATAAAAATTAAATACCGGTACTTATTATACTTTAAAAAAAAATTATTTGTGAATTTTCCTTTTCAAGATAAAGATAATTCTATAATTTTGTTTAGTAAGTAAATTAAAATCAATCTTTTATGAAGGACGGGGGGCAACCCGGCCTGAAAACGCAGATTCAGTGAGAGCACAGGAGAATTACTCTCAGTGGACAAGGGGCTCAAACAATTACAACATGCTTAGCAACAGAAGATTCAATTTAGATTTCAAAGTGAACGCAATGGACGAGGTAGACATCTACGATCATGTTGACGAAGTAATATCCAGCCGCAATAGTACATCTCAGGAGGAGTACGACACCACAGTTCTCAGCAAGAACTATGTAATGGCTGAAATTCATGGCAATAAGGAAAATATTCATGATAAAAGGAACAATGTTAATGATGACACAGGTGGTATATTAAGAGAATGCTATTCACTTGCTTTAAATCCGGACAATTTATCAGAATCTGCAATGGAGAATGTAAAATGTTCTTGAAATGCAAACAGGAAGACTTTAAAAAGAAAATCATGATCATTTTATCTTGGTGCAAATTTAAGTGTTTCATTTTTTGTTGCCATTTAAATGCTTCCTTAACCACAGCTGTTATAAAATCTCACGTCTTTGTGTTAGGAAATTAAACTATCTAAACCCCCCTCCCGTGATGCATATAGCTAAAGAGTTGTGTACAAAAAATTACCAGTCTATCTTTGTATCTTTTTTCACAAAATCCCAGATCCATCAATCCCACCTGCTGTTAATATAGAGCGAACGGACGAGTCGCACATGTATGTTATGATGGTTCCCTCTTTCTTTAAAAAAAATTAGAAGAACGCTGAAATAAATCCATAGAAACATTTTTTAAAGATTAGAGTCACATTATTTAATAATAATATTTAAAACAAATTAAATGTTTAAATATTCTATTTAACGCTCTTTGCAAAGAAAATTATGTTTCATCTTCTTTAAATTTGATCGTTATGCTGATTTAAAAAATCTGTTATGAAATATATGGAAATAACAAATGAAATATTTGGAAAATTAATAACAAACTGTATTTGGGCTCTGAATTCCATGCAAACAATACAAATCAGGAGAAGAGCAGGTGAAACCAGGTGCAATGGAGGAGTGAGCATCCTCTACAGACCGGTCATTTCCGGCATGTGCTTCTTCTCATGATCAGAAAAATCCACCAGCTATTCAGTATTTAAGGATATCCGATCCTCAGCCAGGAAGGATAACTCCAAAAATTTATATTTAATTTGAAATGCATCAAAGCGAAGCTTGGAAATGATTTTTTTTTCAAGCAACAATTTTCATTTTATTCATCTTTAAAAGATTCAAGGTCTTATGAAGTTTTAGAAAAGTTCTTATAAAAATTGACATTTGTACCCTATAAAAGGAAAAAAAAATCAATACAGCTTTAGAGAAATAAGATTTTTTTAATTTACTCTTAGATGCCAATGCTTATTGGAATGATGTGAAATCAGAAGTGAAGTGATTTGTGGTGTCTTGCAATGATAGCAAAAGCCTTTTACACTATGTATTATAGAATACACGACGGAAACAGAAGACATAAAATACCAAATTAGTATAAAAATCATGACAATTTCTTTGAATGCCTGGATACCTATCGTTTTTTAACCTAAAATATATTTGTTGATGAATTTGCAATTAGAAAATGCATTGCTGATATTCCAATTCACTGCAAAATAAATGGAATTTTGACTATTTTCCCTATATAAAATGATTAAATTTAATTTTTGAATTTAAAGAAATACTGTGGATAAATTTACATATCTTTGTGGATCAGAGATGCTTTTTTGAGTAGTTTAGATTACTTAACTGCTAATTTTATAAACCTGAGGATCAGACTACCTTGAAGCAGTATGAAAAATGTCCGTTAACCTTGGTATTTGACATTATGATACACTGTTTTTGCTGACAAGGTCACCATACATCTTACGAAATGATGAATTTGATCTAGATTTTTGATACTCTTTTTTATAAACGTATTTGTCAATAAATCACCTTGTCTTTGAAATCGTTTATATGAAAGCATGCTCTTGTTTATCGATTCAACTGAGAGATATCAAGAAGGTAGCAAAAACTAAAAAAAATAATCGATAGTGGATGTGATCGAACGATAGCCGAGCCTTAATTTTTTCGTTTATATCACAAGTATTAATTTACTTATATATCCACATTTTTTTCCTGTAATGATAGGAGACAATTCTAGCTATTCGCATTTTGCTACACTCCTTGTACATGGTATTTTAAGAAAAAAAACTGAGTGAACATGGTATTCATTGAAATTAACGAATGATTAAATATATATTTTATTTATTGCATAAATTTATATAACAATGAAATGGCTGGGCTGAAAAACAAAATATATAGTAAATAACAAAACTAGTATATAAATATTGCATGTAGTTGAGTGAAATTTTCCTAGCACTCAACTACATACAAAATTTATCATATATTACTAGTATACTGAATGTATGCAAATACATATTACAATGAACTTTGCGCACATAAATTCTGCGCAATCAACAGTTTTTGGAATATCACCCGTCGTAAAGCGATGTTGAATGTTGCTACATTGGTGGGTGTGGCTTCATTATTCACCGGGTAACAGTGTTTTTTAACAAATGTTTCTCAACGAATCAGATTCAACCAGTTTACATGAAAGTAAAATATTCAAAACATGCTGACTAGTCACATGACACAATTCTTAATAATAACAAAATAAGCCCAGTCAATAAAATAAATATTAAGAACTCTGGATGAACTTCGAAATTTAGGTGCTCTCTGTTTAATCTTTTCTCTGCATTGTGGTAATGGCATTAAAAAGGCTAGGGGGACAACAAATTAACCACTAGATTTAACTTAATTTTTACATAGGATAACTTAATCCGTTAACTATCATTTGCCAAAGAAAAATTTCATATATTTTGTTTTAAAATTTGATCATTTTTGTATAGGTTTCTATCGAGCTCTTCTCTTCATTTAAAGGAGGTCAAAATAGTCTGAAAATAGCAACACACCTCGGCCCCTTTAATGGAAAAAAGTCATGATTAAAGGGTGAAAAAATCACTCAGAAAATAAAAGCTTATTGGACTATATACATATGTATTTATGTATGTAAGTAGGCATTTATATTGATATGTGTATTTTTTGTCAGACTGATTATATTTTCTGTCATAAGTTTAATTTATTAGCTGTCTTGCTTTACAGTATTCATTGCAGGTTTGTGAGTATTTTATGGTTTTCTATATTGACAAAATTAAAATACCTAAATAATAATTAAATTGTTTACAAAATGTGTAAATTAATATATCTTTCAAATTAGTTAAGAAATGAAGCTTATTTCAAAAAGTCAAAAATGTCAGTCTGTAATTTGCTTTAATATATTTGAATTTATTGTTTTTCATTTTATACTGAAATTAAACATACAAAAAACAATGATATTTATATAATGTACTGAAACGGAAAGCTGTTTTCCTATATTTCTATTATAGCGAAAGTTATCGCCCTTGTCGTTATTAATTACTTATTGTATACATCGAAAATAAATACTTAATTAGTGTTGAATTTGGATTAAAGTGATCAATAATAATCTTTGTATGTTACCTTAGTTGGATTATTAAAGGTTTGTTAATTGGAAGCTTGATTAGTATTTTAATTAGTTTGTAAATATATAATCACTAAGTATTATAGATGGTACTTAGGATATATAGGGTTTTTACTGCCAATTTTTCAAGAGACGTTAGAGAGGTAAAACTCGACAAATCTTGTTAGTACATGAAAGTGTGCGGACTTCCCTGCTTCTATTGTGATAAGTAATAAGTGTGCGGTCATCCCTGCTCATTGCTTGACAGAGTGTGTGGTCATCCCTGCTCTGTAATTGGCATCTAATAGTAACAAGTGTGAGGACATCCCTGCTTGTTGCTGCGCAAGATCAGGTGTGTGGACATTCCTGCCTGCATCTTGTGGTAGAGCATTGATGTGCGGACATCCCTGCCAGTGTCTCTAGGCTAGAACCGTATAAGTGTCAAGTGCGCGGTCATCCCTGCTTGTCACTGCGCAAGGGCAAGTGTGCGGTCATCCCTGCTTGTCTGTTGTGGAAGTGAGCTGGTGTGTGGACTTCCCTGCCAGTGTCACTTGTTCGCTACCAGTAAAGACCTTATATACGCAGTACCAAGTGATTAAGACTGCGCATTGTACATATTTGCAGCATCTCAAGGCTATCCGTTTTTATCACAGGTACGAGCCTGCGGGGGTTCACAGGCAGTGACCTCCCTTGCACGTTACAGTACAGTAGCTTATTACGTAGAAAATGATCACAGATGTTTGCATCTCTGCTATTATGTATAGGATTTTTACAATTTTGTGTTTTTTAAAATTTTGAATTATGTATGTTGTTAAAATACTCTCTTTATGCAATGTATTGTATGATACTGTATCTATATAAATAAATGAAAAAAAAGCTAATTTCAACTTATATAACCTGGGGCAGTTTTCGCTTTATAAACCGCGAGGCGGTTTATAAAAAACTTAAACTGCCCCAAATTTTGTGATATCGTGTAATATAAGTTGAAATTAGCTTCATTGTTTATAATTTGATTTCAGTGCACACAATGGGATAATTTTCCCACCAGAATAAACTTCACATTGATTTAATATTAAAAGTAACGTCAAGAAGATTAATACATTTTTTGACGTAACTCATTGTGACGTAGGCAAGTTATGTTATACAAAATGGATAAAATCTTTTATTCAATCAAATGACTTGTTAAAAGTTAAATTAAATTATTTCCAAATATTCATTTTCTTTATCGTTGCACACAGGACTTTTTCCGGTTTCTTTGATTTTCGACCGAGTATAAACAGCTTCATAGTCTGCATTTGAATCTCCTTCTCTTTCACGAACAGGAACCGCATAAAACTGTGGTAGGAACATCGATCCTATGTACCTTGACTCTCTTTGAGATTTCATTCTGAAGGAAAACAAACAATGAAAATATCTGAATTTCTCTTTTGTGCATAAAATGATGAAATTCGTTTCATTTAGCGATATGACGACTTTTTACTTTGGCGCTTGCAAATAATTGACCAGTCTATACATGTATCTAAATTCGAGCTCAATTTACGCATCATGCCTTATGTGTTATTTTTTTTTTGTATTAATTTGAACAAAAATTATAATATTTAATATTCAAATACCGGTATATGAAATAAATGTAAGTTTGATTTCGCAAACATTCTTCATAAATCATGTGTTTGTTCTACCGAGACTTCAATTTTATAGGAAGATAAGAAGGAGTAGGAGAAGAATAGAGGAAAATGTACCTCTTACGGATGATGATAATGGTCGAAAAAATTCCAGCAGTTAGGAAGACCCCTAGGACCACGTATAACATTTTTTCACCAATTGGAATCGTTCTATCCGTTTCAGCTTTATCCGAAAACAAAATATTTAAATTAATAAATATGCAGAAAAGATAAGAAGCTAAAAAATACAACCACATGACCCTCCCACCCCACCCCAAAAATTAAAATAAATTTGTATTTTTTATAGGAATTCATAGTTTGATTCAATTAACAAATTCTCTCTTAAAAAACAACGTTGCGAATTGAGTACAGAGTATAAAACACGGGCCCATGGAAACTCTAGATCCAAGGTGGGATCACAGGTGTCCAGAAGGAGTAAGCGTTACCTGTCAAAGGAACAAGCCCTCAGTTTTAAACAGTACCAGATAGTAATATCAAATCAATAAGTTGCCCAACCCACTTTCAAAAAAGATCTTTTGGTTGCAAAATGTAAGTGAAATGAATATCCAACGACCACGCCAAAATGAATATTTCACTATTGTTACAACTTGTATGTAATAAAATGTACATGTAATAAACATTGTTTTAAGTGTGAACACCAAGGTTTTGCATACTTTTTAAACACCAGCTTGAAATGCAAAGGTTATAATGTATAGTAACCGGGGTGTCTGTCCGTCCGTCTGTCTGTACATCCATTTGTTACGCTTTGCGGTACACATCATTTATCTGCAATTTAATGAGACTTTTAAAGAATCTTTGTTATATATTATAAGGTCATTATACACCTCATATTTCAATTTTTGATCGGAGAAATATTTTGGGTTTCTCAGACAAGGGCACGACCATTCTTTTTATGATATTAAAGGGTACCCATCTCTTATCCATAATTCATCCTATTGCACTGAATAAAATTTAATGATACCTTTACAGATTTTTTATTACATTGTGCCATTGTGAACCTCCTATTTTACTTTTTGATCTAACATTTATTTAGGGTGTCCCAGTGCTAAACATGGACTTAGCCATCATAACCATATTGGAGGCGGGGTATCATTTAGTGAGCTCATTGCTCACAATACCTCTAGTTACATTCATTAAAGCTAGAAATAGTTTTTCTTAAATTGCCATCTGTACCCATTGGTAATATTTACATATAGGGCACAACCTGTCTCTCTGTCAAAGTACTGGGCAGTGGCACTTATTTTACTATATTTATTGAAATTCTTAGAATTTATAAGATTGGGATTGTACGTTTTGTTACTACATCCTGTCTTCCTGTCAAAGTACTGGTCAGTGGTACTTATTTTACAATATTTTGGAAAATCTTACCGTTTGTAGAAGTAGAATGGTATCTACATCCTGTCTTCCTGTCACAGTACTGGTCATTTGTACAATGACACTTTTGTAAACAGCCAAATCCATAGTATCCATATGGACAGTATCCTCCTGTACAGTTGGCGCCATATGTACCTACTTCACAAGCTGTAACACCAATGGTGTATATTTAAGGTATTTTGAACGACTTATTAAATCCTTCAGCTTTATTTCTGAATCTCATACATTAACATATTTGTGGCATGCATAATGTTTCATGCAGAAATTCAATAAGTTAACACTTTAATAAAAAAAATCGCGCAACTTGAATCATACAGAATATTAAACATTATACATGTATTTTCAATATTTAGACACTTTATAAAGACGTATTACGTCAAACTTGTGTATCTTTAACAAATTATATGGAAATGCAAGAATAGACAACGCACAATCTGAAAGGCGGAAATATTTATAGCAAATAGCTACAGCAAGTGG